TCATCAAGAGCTTTTATTTGAGTACCCACATGCATTTTGATAATTTGTGAAATTTATAAATATATAAAATATATGAAAAATTGATGTGGGTACTCAAATGAAAGGTATCGATAAGTGTAATGTTAGGATGAGCTTATATCTTTAAAAATGTCAATAGTTTTCAAGATATAAGGTAATTTCTTAATTATGTATCTAGAGTTAGAAAATTTTCAAATGCAGCCTAAATAATCCTAATTAATTGACTATTGGTAAGAACGAAATGAAACCTTGAAAATGCACAAATTCAAGTCAAGACCTTTGCAATGACACTAAATTTCACTAAAAAAACCGCTTTATCATATGAATATCCTAGAAACAAAATTTTTTTTATTCTCTTAATAATATAAATTAGCCGACGTTCAACAATTTTTGTATTTTTTTAAATAATTCTCATGCAAGTTACAAAATTGCACTTATAATTTTTCCAATTTTTTACATGAGAATTTTTTTTGTAATTTTTTAAATAGAAAAAATTACAATAATTTTTAGATGTCGGCTAATTTAATTTTCTCTAATTTTTCTTATATGCATCACTTAAATAGTTGAGATTGTAATTTTTGCATTAAAATAATATGTTTGTAATTTACAGTATTGTAATTATAGTTAATAATAATAATTAATCATTTAATTATAATGATTGAAGACATGAGAGTAATATTAGGTCGCATTTACATGACAGTTTAATTTTTTGTTCTATAAGAAATGTTACAAGTCGCTATTTGGAGGAATGTTAATAAGCTTTTTTTGTATATGTAATAAAGTACTACATAAATACTTTAATTATGAAACTTTTGTTATTTATTATGTACCAAAAAATTATGAAAATTAATTTAACAGATATTGAATAATTTTAAGAATTTTATAACAAATAAATTGTGGATAAAAAAATTGACTTGTAAAAATAAAAAAAAAAATGAAGAATTTAAAAATAAATTTTTAAAATTTATAATAAATAAAAAGAAGATTATAAATTATGTATGATTTATATAAAAATCCATTTAAAAAATGAAATGTAAGTATGTAAATGTTAACATTAATGAAGTCAGAAGCTTTTTAAAATAGTTAAAGATTTATATTGTTTGTTTTAGGTTGAGATTTAAAAATAGATCCGTTGAGAAATAAATGTCCAGATGGGAGGTATGTGATGAATAAAAGAATTCACGGTGGGTTTCACTGGAATTCTATTGCCCTGATTTTCCGCATTTACGGAGTTGTGTTCCACTAGTGTAGTCAAGCTATACATATAGATCAAGCACCAGAATCGTCTAGTCAGAGACACCCCAGCAGAGATAAATTACTTGGATGCTCAGTACACACGATATAATACAAAACGAGACGTAAGAAATATAGAGTATTTTACTTTTTAAACTATTTCATTAAAGGATTTTACTCTAAATAACCTTTTTATTTTATAATACCAAAGTTAGTCGAAATTTTTTATTTATTAATTTATTAAAAATATGTTTTAATAATTGCACTTAATAAAAGCCCCAATTATTGACACTATTAGATACAAAGTTATGATTTGATTTTTTTTAAGCGATCAAATATCAATATCGTTGAATTTTGTATGTGGTAATGTCCCAAGTAATGTTTTTACGAATCAATTTCTTTATCTCAGCCATTTTTTAATTTAAACAATTTTTAAATTTGCCGCATTTTTTCTTAGTTTTAAAATAGAAAATATCAATATGGCGGCGAGATGCCGAACATATGGTGAGCCGGTTTTAACAAAAAAAGGAATATTACAAACAAATTAACTGACTTTTAATTCTAAATTTTTGCAAAAATATCTTTTGTATGAATTTGAACCTTAAAAAAAAAGAATTGAGATATTTTATAAAATTTTAACGGAGATATCGTCATTTTTATTTACGAAAAAATGCATCTGACATTTTTACGGCGATTTTTTGGATTAAAATTTAAATTTAAAAGAGTGAATAATTTTTGGATAATAAATTAAAATATAAAATTAATAATTACTTAAAAAAAATTTTTTTTTTATTTTAGTAGAAAAAAAATTTAAGTCGGCTAATTTTATTCTCTCTATCTCTTTCTTCCTTTTAATCCACTTTTATTATCTTATTTTATACTTCTATTTTAACTCTTTATGTTTTGTCGGTTTATTATTTCAGCATTGCGATGTGGTTTATATCAATAATTATCGTAAATCTTAAAATGTTTTCCAGATTCTGCATTTACTTCCCAGGATTTAACAATCATCGTCAGCAACAGCCAGTAATGCATCAGCCACCGCCGATAGCCGAGTTTTGATGTGAGCGTATATTGACACTTCAATCCAGTGTCGTTGCCTAATTTTCTCAAGTGTCGTGATTTTGAAGGCTCTGAGGGGTGAACCTATCAATCAAAATAATTCTACAAGAACTGTGACTTTGATTGATATCAGATGTTCCATATCGGAGTCTGGTAATCATGCCTGCTAAAAATTCCAGAGAAGTATCCCAGTCTCGCATCCCAAAGGTAAGTTTTTTTTTCCCCCATTAATTCTTTTAATAAATAAATTACATCTAACAACCTTCCAGTCACTATGTGACTGCTGTGACTTGTGAACTATAAATAAATACAATTTTGCTTTATTAAATAATGAATTTTGATAAATTGCACCATACTTTTTTAAAAATTGACATTTATAAAGATATAAGCTCATCCCGATGTTACACTCATCAAGAGCTGTCATTTGAGTACCCACATGCATTTTTGATATATTTTTCATATGTACATATATATACTATATATTTTTAAGATATAAGCTCATCCTGATGTTACACTCATCAAGAGCTTTCATTTGAGTACCCACATGCTTTTTTTATATATTTTTCATATATACATATATATAATATATATAAATATATGAAAAATTGATGTGGGTACTCAAATGAAAGGTCTCGATGAGTGTAACATCGGGATGAGCTTATATCTTTAAAAATGTCAATAGTTCACAAGATAAAATGTTATTACTTAATTATTGACATTTTTAAAGATATAAACTCATTTCGAAGTTACACTCATCGAGACCTTTCATTTAAATATCCACATGCATTTTTTATACATTTTTCATATATACATATATGTAATATATATAAATATATAAAATATATGAAAAATTGATGTGGGTACTCTAATGAAAGATCTCGATGAGTGAAATGTCGGGGTGAGCTTAAATCTCTAGAAATGTCAAGAGTTCACAAAATACAAGGTCATTTTTTAATTATGTATCTAGAGATAGAGTATTTTCAAATGCAGCCTAAATAGTTCTCATAATAAACCATAAACACCCATTTTATTATATACATACACTGGCCACAAAATTTTGCTTATTCTCTTAATAATAGAATTTTTACATAAAATAACTGAATTTACATAACAATTTTCATAAAAAGAATTGTTTATACTCTTGCCAACGAATGACTGCTCTAATTCTGGTTCCGTTCTAGTTTTAGCAAAATCTCCCGGGTGAGTAAATCTTAAATTTTGTTCTATATTCTATAATTTTTGCCCCAGAAACTTCAACTTGAAAATATTTAGTTAGTTAATAAAAAGCTACTGAGATAGAAAGCCGGTCAAAGCTTTGCTCTAGTTACAAGAATTGTTCCAGACTGAATTAAAGGTTCAATAGACCGCTGTCTCCTGAGATAACTCGAGATCAATTCTTAATTTTTTTTTATCAATTATTTTTAAGTATTAATTATAATTAATTTTGATTATAATTAATTATTGATTTTATATTTTAATTTATTATCAAAATATTATTCACTCTTTTAAATTTAAATTTTAATCCAAAAAATCGCCGTAAAAATGTCAGGTGCGTTTGTTCATAAACAAAAATGACGATATCTTCGGTAAAATTTTATAAAACATCTCAATTCTTTTTTTTTCAAGTTCAGATTCATAAAAAGAATATTTCTGCAAAAATTTAGCATTAAAAGTCTTTTAATTCGTTTGTAATATTCATTTTTTTCTTAAAACCGGCTCACCATATGTTCGACATCTTGCCGCCATATTGATATTTTGTATTTTAAAACTAAGAAAAAAGGCGGCAAATTTAAAAAGTGTTTAAATTTAAAAATGGAATAAATGATTAATTATAATTATAACATTGAATCATTGTGAGTGACAATTCAATTACCGTCGACAGATCTACAAATATATATTTAGTTAGTGTGTATGTGGGTGTATATAATAATAATGAAATATAATATGTTATTAAACATCACGCGTCTATCATCATCAGCATGCATTCAAATTATAGTCAAACAAGAGATCGATGTTTAATATTACTAACGAGATTTTATTCCCGCGAGTCTCATTTGCTCTTTTATGTGACATAATAGATAATTTATGTTAATTGTTTTTAAGCCCAGGACAAATTGCGCTTAAATTTTCTAAATTAAATGTCAATCATCGATCAATTAAAATATTATCGTTAGTGAAAAAAAAAAAAATTATTGAAGGGCTTTGAATTAAAATTAATTTTTATTTTTAATAATTTCAGAATGTACATAGTCGAATATTCAAGTGCAAATTGTATCTGAATTATAACATTAAATTTTGCGATAATCAGGATATATTCATGCATGTTGCGGCGTTTAATTTCTCTCACTTGCACTCCGGAGGTTTTCACAGATGACGTTTAATTAATTCCTAATTCCTTTGGAGGATTATGACGATTATCTCCAATTTGGTATTAGATTATTATCAATACAAATTTTACAGATAATTTCACGCTTGTTTACAATTAACTTTGAAAATTGCATAGTATTTTTTTTTTTAATTAATTAGTTACAAATTAATTGGTAGATAAAGTGTTATAGAATTGAACAGAAATAACCAGATATGCTGCAATAGTACTAGAAATCTAAAATTAAAAATAAAATTATATCGGTTGTTTTTTCGTAGTTAAAAGTACACTTACCGTTGTCAAAAAAGTGCGATCTAATGGGATAATTCCCCAGCAGGTAAAGTCGACGGTCAGAAACGGAAGGTGGGAAGAAAACTTTATCATCTATGAACAGAAAAATTAATTATTAATTATTTGTAATGCTATACAATGATTTAGCAGATATTTGATAATTTTTAGATTTTTTTTAACAAATGAATTATGGAAAAAAAAAATTGACATGTAGAAATTTAAAAAAAATCAAAAATGCAATTTTTTAAAAATCTTTTTTTTGGAACAAATTTGCTTGTTAAAACAAAAGAGAAAAAAAGAGTTTGAAATTTTTTTTTAATTTTTCAAAAAATCAATCTTTATAATTAAAAAATAACGATTGTCAAAAAAAAAAAATTTTTTTTTCATTCAAAAAATGATTAAAAATCGAAAAATTGCTCATAATGGTAATTTTTGCGAAAACAAAGAATCCGAAGAACCGCAAATTCGTATAGGCTTCTGATTACGTCAAATTAAAGGGCATTAAATTCTTTAAAAGAACTTTTGAGTAAAATAATGAAAGAAAATTTTTTGAAAAATTTTTTTTTTTGTAGTTTCCTTAAGATTTCTCCAGACCCAAATATAATAAAAATTTTCATGGTAATATCTGAAAACTAGACACTTGAAGCTACAATTTACTTTTTTTTTGCTGCACGATAATTCTCTCTGGAGTTACAGCTTGTTGAAAATCACCCAAAAATTTAGAATTTTTTTTATATCCCTTAATTTTTGTGACTAGTGTATATAAAATGAACTTATCGTTTTAAATATTTCTTCATCCATATCAAATCGATCCCTGAGCAAGTTTAAAATTATCGGAGTTTTTTTATTCTGTAATAATAAAACTTAATAAGTAAAAAAAATTTTTTTTGGCGATAAAAATTACAAACCTGTTCAATCACTTTAGTTACTGCTATAGTCAACATTATGAAGTTAATAACATATTGTAACAAAGTCACTCCAACTAAGAATATTATAACATCAATTGTCGGTAAATTAATCATTTTTACGATTATAAAGTATAAATTACGCACTAGCCGAATGGCCATGATAGAAGAAACAATCAAAATAAAAATTTCATAAAAATTTACTATTTCATCACATCCTTTGCAAATTTCCTCGTACGCGCGTTTTAAGTTTGTAAAATCATCCAGAATTAACTCACGGGAATGCGATATTTTACTTTCGGAAGTGCCCAATTTCAAAAGCGTCGAATTGATCTCCTCAAATCGTCTTCGGATTAAGTTTATAAAAATAGTGTAATGAATCAACGGCCAAGTTGTCAAAATATTCGGCACTAACATGATAAAGACTATTATATCGGATTTAAAGGCTAAATATCTGAGTATTGTTACGCAAAAGTTAAAAACAAAATTCATTAAAAATATCCAATCGTTAGCGTAATAATTTTTACTTTTATAATCTGCACAACTATTTAAATTTTTATCAACACTTTTCAACCGATTGTTGATTAGATTTATTGGTACTTTTTGTCGGATGGTATAAATTAGTACAATAAAAACCATACACAGCACTGAAGATGATAAAAATAAAGTTTCAAAAAGTTTTATCTCCTCGGAGTAAGTTTGTTGTAAATAAAAAACAACGTAAATGCTTAATGATACTGTAAGAAATATGAATACAAAGTTATAAAATATTCCAACATATGAAAAAGTATATTTAAAATTATGACTTTCAATTCTTCGGTTTCTGCGAATTATTTCAGAAGCTTCGATTGACCAAGGTGACAATCCGATTAATTTTAAGAATAAGTACTGACTAATCACAAAAAGCCGATAACACACTGACTTTATTTTATGATAACTCATTATTAATTTCTCTGTAATTCACCCGTTTTTTGTTCTATCGCAGTCACTGGACTAGTGATTGCTTCGATGTCACGGTCGTTACTAATCAACGGCGCAGAAATATTAGATTTTACATCCAGCTTGTATTATTCTGTGACAATGGATGGATAATTTATCTATGGTGTCGCTTCTATATTGATGTTTCGTGTAATGTATTTTAAAAATTGCGTGCATGAAGAAAAGCTTTTTGCTTATTAACTTCAAATTATGTTCAGTTAAAATCAATCGATATGAAATTGCACAGTAATAATTATATGTTGGTCACATACTAAGTTATTCAATTTTCTTCGCGGGTATATAAATCAATAGTTTTTAGTAAATTTGAATTGACAACACTTTACTCTCGGGTTATGATTTATAATACAGAGTTATTTATCAAAAATGGAACAATACATACTTGTTTATAATTAACTCCAAAAATTGCCAGATATTTTTGTTGAAATAAATAATTTCGAATTAATTGGCCGATAAGCTGATGTAGAATTGAACAGAAATAACGAGATACGAGGCAATAGTGCTGGAAGCCTGAAATTTTATTATCAAAATGATATCGGATATTTATCATATCGTTAAAAGTAAACTTACAATTACTTAAAGAGTGCGATCTAGTGGTATTATTTCACAGCAGGTGAATTCAACAGTCTAGTACGGAAGTTGAGAAGAAAACTTCACTAGCTACAATCAGTCAAATTTATGTAATTATAATTAATTAAAAATTTTTTTCACAAATGATGCAAAGATATGATTAACTCACTTTTTTGAATATTTCTTCATCCATATCAAATCGATCTCTTAGTGAGTTGATAATCCTGACGGTTTCTTTATTCTGAAAACATTTAATTTTATTTGCGATAATTTTTCTTTTTTTATTGTGTTAAAAATGTGTGATGATTTGGTATGTCAGCAATTTTAAAAATTGCAGTTTTAAGAACTATATTCAAAAAAACATACTTACTAACCTCTTTAACCACTTTAGCCACAGAAGAAGTGAAGTACATGAAGATATATATATATAGGATACAAAAAACTAAGTCCAGTTACATATGTTAGAGAGTCAATCTTCGGAGCGGAGATCAATTGTATCACCATATAATACAAACTGCGGATAGTTTTTGTCGAAAATATAAGTATCACAATCAAGGTAGGAACTTCATAAAAAGTTACAATTTCATCACACCCTTTACAAAGTTCTGCGTATGCGCGTTTGATGCTATCAAGATCATCCAGAATTAACTCACGCGATCGCGATATTTTACTTTCGGTGGTACCAAGTTTCAATAGCATTGAATTAATACTCTTGAATCGTAATTTTATTATATTTATGAAGATTGTATAATGAATCAATGGCCAAGTTGTTAAAAAATTTGGTAGATTTATGAAGACAATTAGTTTTGATTTGGAAAAAAATTGTCTCACTATGGCTATGGTACTTGTGAAGATAAAGTTGCTAGCGAAGATTACATCATTGGTACAATCGTATTTTATTTCATAATCAGCGCACGTATTTAAGTTTTTATCAAAATTTCGCAGGTGGTTGTTGATGAAATTCATAATTAATTTGTGTCGAGCGGTGATAATAAGTACAATAAAAATAATACAGATTGATGAAAAAAATCCGAAGGTGGTTTGAAATATACCGAAAATTTGGTCGAGTATTTTCATCAATATTATATAGTTAAAACAGTAAATATTTAACGATGAAGTTACTAGAATGAAAATAATGTTATAACACACTCCAATATATGAAAAACAGTATATAACATTGTAAATTTCAATTCTTTGGTTTCCGGTTATTATTTCAGAGGCGTCGATTGACCAAGGCGACAATCCGATTATTTTGAAGAAAAAGTACTGACTAATCACAAAAAGCCGATAACACACTGACTTTATTTTACAATTCATTTTTTATTTTTCTGTAATTCACCCGGTTTTTATTCTATCGCCTTCACTGAACTAGTGTTAGCTTCGATGTCACGTTTGTTACTAATAAATGGTGCAAGAATATTTGATTTTACAGCTAGCTTTTACGATTCTCTGACAATAGATGAATAATTTATTAATGCCATCGCTGCTATATTAATATATCGTGAAGTGCTGTTTTAAAATTGCGTGCCCGAAGAGAAGCTTTCTGTTTTAATAACATTAACCATCGTCAGTAAAAGAAGAGTCGATATGGAACTGTACAACAACAACTTAATATTAGTCACATACTGAGTTTATTAATTAAGTTTGCATATATTGGAACAGTTATTTCAAGGGGTTGCATGCCCTTATGATTTTATAAAGAATTATTAACTATATTTGTTTCTCAGGTTATGGAATTATATTATTGATCAGAAATGGAACAATACAAACGAAATTTCATGTCATTTTACGAAATTATTTTCACCCAGTTCTAATATCAAACGTAGCACGAGTATAATTATATTATTTTTATCAATAAGTTCCAGATATTTTTGTTAGAGTAATTCTCATTAAATTAATGGGTAACTGCATTGATGTAGAATTGAACAGCAATCACCAAATACGTTGCCGTAGTACCATAAATCTAGAAAAATGATTATTGTATTGGTATATCAAAAGTAGCAATTTTTTTGTTTTAAATATTGTTACAATATCTACAGTCAGTCGACGTTCTATCGTATGTAAGCTTTGAGGCTTATGTTCGGCAACGTATAGTAAAAAAAATCATAATTGTTCCTATTTCTTCTGACATGGCCAGTTTAAGGTTTAAAGTTATAAAGACAATAGAGAAATGAGCGAACAATGTGACAGTAAATTAAAAATCACTCTAAATATTTTTAGTGTCATCAAAAGTAAACTTACCATTGCCAAAAAAGTGCGATCTAGTGGTATGATATCACAGCAGGTAAATTCAACGGTCAGGTACGTCAAATGAGAAGAAAACTTTAGCAGCTGTAATTAACCAATTTTATACATTACATCTCTTTTGTTCAAAATCATTTATTTCAGTCAAATCAGATTTGTTAACTATAAACAAACGTGATATTTGTATGTCGATAAAGAAATCATGCTCTGTAATCCCATAATAAAATTGAGATGAAATGTATGTGAAACCAATCTATTCGTGATGTGATTGGTCGAATATATCATATGCATGAAAATATATGCAAACTCTATAATCAAGGCGCGCGCTTGCCTGCGCAAAGTTGACTTCTAGTATAGTAAATAATATCTGACATATTTTTAGGGTTATGAAAGCAATGAGGATGAGTTTATTTATATTTGGGTATCTTCTAATAAACTAAAATTATTAGATCCGAGTTGGATTTTGATAGTTTTTTATTTTTCATTATTCAATTCATCAAAAATTTATGTATATATACAAAATTACTCAATAATAACAGGCAACGATAAAGGCATTAAAATTACGATAACTCAAATAGCGACAGTAGCGACACAAACGTCTTATGATTTATTTTAAATGAGATTTGTTAACTATTAACAAATCTTATTTGAATGAAATAAATCGGCAAATTCAATCAAATAAACCAAAACAAAATAGTATTTGATTGAAAGTAATCCAAAGTTGATATTTATTAATATCTTAAGATTTAACTTGTGATTCAGAATTGAGTATCTAATACGAAAAGAAAAGATATCTATGAGCGAGAATAATCAAGATTTGAAATTAAAATACATAAATAAAGTAAATATTAGCATAAAAAATGGTTTTTTTCTCTTTTTTCAATATGGCGTGCTTTTTTTTAAATCTGAAAAACTCATAAGTCCATAGGAAAATAAATGAGGAATTCGAAAAAAATGGTTTCATAATTGTGCCAGAATCGTATCATAGTTAAAAATCGAAAATAAAACAAAAGTGCCATTTTTTTGAGGCTTTTATCAACCGATATAGCTTTCAATTTTTTTCCTAGAAGCTACCATCAGTCCCCAAAACATATCCAAAATTCAAATTAATTGATTGGTGCGTTTCTGAGAATATTTATTTTGTCTGATTTTTACACATTTGGCTTTTTCTCAAATACCAAATGGATTTCTTTCAAGGGCAAATTCAGTATGCTTATACCCCTAGGGTCTTTAAAACAAAACAAATTTGTTAATATTAAATACGTATTTTTAAGTTACTTTAAATAAATTTACGAATTTAAATAAAACAAATTGTTTTGTCAGTGTACACAAATAAATTAATTAAACTGTTGTTGATATGAGATTTACTTACGTTTTCGAATATTTCTTCATCCATATAAAATCGATCTCTTAGCAAGTTTATAATTCTCAAAGTTTCTTTATTCTGAAATAATTGAAGTTAATTAAAAAAAAAAATAATGTATTTTTATTAATAGTTACGAACCTGTTTAATCACTTTAGTTACTGCAGTTGTCAAAAGTATAAAGAGAATTGTAGTATGCAATACGCCGGATATAGCAAAGCAAATTATAAACTTAATTTTCAAAGATGTGATTAATTCAATTGTTATGAAGTATAAGTTACGAACTGATCTGACCGATTGGATGAAAATGACAATGAAAACAGGAATTCCAAAAAAACTAACGATATCATCACATCCTTTACAAATTTCCACATATGCGCGTTTTAAGCTTGAAATATCATTCAAAACTAATTCGCGGGAACGCAGTATTTTACTTTCGTAAGTTCCTAGTTTTAAAAGTGTTGAATTGATCCCCTCAAATCGTAATTTTATCATATTTATAAACATTAAATAATGAATCAGAGGCCAAATTATTAAAAAATTGGGTAAATTCATAAAAATAATTATTGGAACTGACTTGCGGTACAATTGCAGTGCTAGCAGTATGGAACTTATAAAGAATAAATTTGTGTAAAATATCAAATCATTGGTGTAATCATATTTGATGTCGTAATCGGCGCAACTACTTAGATTTTTGTCCACCATTTGTAGCCGATTGTTGATTAAATTAATTAATAACTTCTGCCGAATCATGTAAATCACTATTATTGAAATTACACATAGCATTGACAAAAACGAAAAAGGTACTTCAAATGTTCTCGCATGTTCTAGGCCACTAATTAGCGATGAATAGAAAATATACAAAATATTGTACACTATTAAAGTGACAGTTATAAATAAAAGATTGTAACAAATTCCAACGTATGAAAAACTGCATTTAAAATTGTGACTTTCAATTCTTCGGTTTCTGCAAATTATTTCAGAAGCGTCGATTGACCAAGGCGACAATCCGATTAATTTGAAGAAAAAGTATTGACTAACCACGGAAAGCCGATAACACACTGACTTTATTTTCTGATAGTTCATTTTTAATTTCTCTGTAATTCACCCGTTTTTTGTTCTATCGCATTCACTGAACTAGTGATTGCTTCGATGTCACGGTCGTTACTAATCAACGGTGCAGGAATATTAGATTTTACATCCAGCTTGTATTATTCTGTGACAATGGATGGATAATTTATCTATGGTATCGCTTCTATATTGAAGTTCGTGTCATGTATTTTAAAAATTGCATGCATGAAGAAAAGCTTTCAGCTTTTTAACTTCAGACCATGTTCAGTTTAAATTAGTCAGTATGAAATTGCACGGTAATAATTACATGTTGGTTACATACTGAGATATTTAATTTTCTTCGCATGTATTAGAATATCAATAATTTAGAGATGCCATACGTGCTTAGAATTTCCAAATAAGTTATTTTTTTGATAGTTTACCTACATGTATATAGTAAATCGAGCACTTTCAATTTTGTTAAAATTTTTATATTCTTTCCTGCGCTACACTGAGAGAACAATTTATTTGAATCAAACGAGACTCGTTTAGTATAAAGAAATCTCTTATTTAAATATCACTAACTAATACTTATTTGACACAATTAAATGAATTTATTTGAGACAAAGATGTGGTTTCAGTGTATTTATTTGAATGAATTAGTAATTTGTTTATACAGCAAATCTTTCTTTAATACTTTGAAATCATTTATTTCAGTCAAATCAGATTTGTTAACTATAAACAAATGTGATATTTGAATGTCGATAAAAGAAATCATGCTCTGTAATATAGTAAATAATATCTGACATATTTTTAGGGTTATCAAAGCAATGAGGATGAGTTCATTTATATAATTTATATTAGGGTATCTTTTAATAAACTAAAATTATTAGATCTGAGTTGGATTTTGATAGTTTTTTTCCATTATTAAATTCATCAAAAATTTATGTATTTATTCAAAATTACTCAATTATAACAGGCAAAGATAAAGGTATTAAAATTACTATAACTCAAATAGCAACAGTAGCGACACAAACGTCGATCAAAAATTCACCCGTTTTTTGTTCTATTGCATTCACTGGACTAGTGTTTGCGTCGATGTTATGTTTGTTACTAATAAACGGTGCAAGAATATTCGATTTTACAGCTAGCTTTTACTATTCTCTGACAATGGATGAATAATTTATTCATGCCATCGCTGCTATATTAATATATCGTGAAGTGCGGTTTTAAAATTGCGTGCCCGAAGAAAAGCTTTCTGTTTTATTAACATTGACCATCGTCAGTAAAAGTAGAGTCGATATGGAATTGTACAACAACAACTAAATATTAGTAGCATACTAAGTTATTAAATTTTCTTCGCGTTTATATAAATCAATAGTTTTTAGTAAATTTGAATTGACAACACGATTCTTGGGTTATCATTTATAATACAGTATTATTTATCAAAAATGTAACAATACAAACTTGTTTATAGTTACTAGATATTGTTGTTGAAATAAATAATTTCGAATTAATTGGCAGATAAGCTGATGTAGAATTGAACAGAAATAACGAGATACGAGGCAATAGTGCTGGAAGCCTGAAATTTTATTATCAAAATAATATCGAATTTTTATCGTATTGTTAAAAGAAAACTTACCATCACCAAAAGAGCGCGATCTAGTGGTATTATTCCACAGCAGGTGAATTCAACAGTCAAGAACGGAAGGTGAGAAGAAAACTTCACTAGCTACAATCAGCCAAATTCATATAATTATAATTAATTAAAAATTTTTTTCACAAATGATGCAAAGATATGATTCACTTACTTTTTCGAATATTTCTTCATCCATATCGAATCGATCTCTTAGTAAGTTGATAATCCTGACGGTTTTTTTATTCTGAAAACATTTAATTTTATTTGCGATAATTTTTCTTTATTTATTTAAGGGCCACTATGAGTGTGACTCTCCAAAAAAAAAAAGGTTATTTTGGAAATGACACAAAAAAACTGATGTACTGATTTTTGTGAAATTTTCATTCTATATATTGAAAAAAAAATTAGAAAAACGGTTCACCCTAAAGGTCATCCCTGCAACTTCCCGCCAATTCTATACCTAAACGCTTGAAATTGCACTTATGACGTTTTAAAGCCCTTCGAGCTCATAAATACAATTTGTGTGTTATTTTGAGCTCTCCGAGCTTAAACAAATAGCTTTTGTAAGCTATTGAGCTCTTCGAGCTCACAAGTTTGATAAAGCACTATTTTTTTAGTTTTCAAATCGCAATATCTTTTGAATGGATCAACCGATTTTCACGCGGTTTGCGACATTCGACGCAGTTTTATCATCCTCATAAGTTATTTTCAGGTTTTAATTGATCGAACCGAAAATTTCAGAGTAATTCCGAAAAAACACTTTTTTCGGTTTTCTTTCGTTCACGATAACTCACGAACGAATCAACCGATTTTGACCGGACTGGCGGCGATCGACGCGGTTTTTTGATGTTAAGAGCTGATTAATTTTTGGAATTGATCGGTGAAGCCGTTTAAAAGTTATTCCAAAAAAACCACTTTTCAAAAAATTTTTTTTTTGTAGTTTTTTTGCAATTTCTCAAAATCTACTGGTCCGAATCAGTTTAAATTTTCAGGAAATCTAAGTTTGGTCAAGCTCTTTCGAATGGCGCCAACCGCGATCAAATCGGTCAAGCCGTTTAAAAGTTATAAGCGGTTCACATACTTTCACACACACACACACACACACACATACAGACGCCGTGACAACCTCGCGGGGATAGTCAGGGAGGCTTCCTGTGACCTTCAAACGTCGAGATCTGATGAAAACTCGATTTTTGCAAAACGGGGTGAAAACAATAACTTCCTGATTTTTGAAAATCTGAGATTTTTAGCGGGAAGTTAAAAATTAGATTTTTAACAAATGGCGAGGTTAAAAAAAAATGCAAAGTTGTGTTGAAAAAGTGTAATGATTTGGTATGTCAGCAATTTTAAAAATTGCAGTTTTGAGTACTATATTCAAAAATGCAAAAAAACATACTTACTAACCTCTTTAACTACTTTAGTCACAGAAGAAGTGAAGTATATGAAGATATATATAGGATACAACAAACTAAGTCCAGTTGCATATGTTAGAGAGTCAACCTTCGGAGCGGAGATCAATTGTATCACCATATAATACAAACTGCGGATAGTTTTTGTCGAAAATATAAGTATCACAATCAAGGTAGGAACTTCATAAAAAGTTACAATTTCATCACACCCTTTACAAAGTTCTGCGTATGCGCGTTTGATGCTATCAAGATCATCCAGAATTAACTCACGCGATCGCGATATTTTACTTTCGGTGGTACCAAGTTTCAATAGCATTGAATTAATACTCTTGAATCGTAATTTTATTATATTTATGAAGATTGTATAATGAATCAATGGCCAAGTTGTTAAAAAATTTGGTAGATTTATGAAGACAATTAGTTTTGATTTGGAAAAAAATTGTCTCACTATGGCTATGGTACTTGTGAAGATAAAGTTGCTAACGAAGATTACATCATTGATACAATCGTATTTTATTTCATAATCAGCGCACGTATTTAAGTTTTTATCAACATTTCGCAGGTGGTTGTTGATGAAATTCATAATTAATTTGTGTCGAGCGGTGATAATAAGTACAATAAAAATAATACAGAACGATGAAAAAAATCCGAAGGTGGTTTGAAATATACCGAAAATTTGGTCGAGTATTTTCATCGATATTATATAGTTAAAACAGTAAATATTTAACGATGAAGTTACTACAATAAAAATAATGTTATAACACATTCCAATATATGAAAAATAGTATCTAAAATTATGAGTTTCAATTCTTTGGTTTCCGGTTAATATTTCAGAAGCGTCGATTGACCAAGGCGACAATCCGATTATTTTAAAGAATAAGTACTGACTAATCACAAAAAGCCGATAACACACTGACTTTATTTTATGATAATTCATTTTTAACTTCATTGTAATTGACCCTTTTTTTATTCGATTGCATTCACTGGACTAGTGTTTGCTTTGATGGCAGGATGGTTACTAATGAAAGGTGCAAAAATTTTCGATTTTACATTTAGCTTTTATCTTCTGTGACAATGAATGCATAATTTGTCTATGATTGCGCTTCTGTATTGATGTTTCGTGTAATGCACTCTAAAAATTGCGTGCATGAAGAAAAGCTTTCTGCTTTTCAACCCTGACCGGTGTCAATAAAAAAGTCGATATGGAATCGCATACCAACAACTAAATATTAGTCGCATACTAAGTTATTTAATTTTTTTCGCATATGCATAAATCAGTAGTTTTTAGTAGGCTTGAATTGACAACACTTAATTCTCGAATTATGATTTATAATACAGTATTATTTATTAAAAATGGAACAATACAAACTTGTTTATAATTAACTCCAAAAACTACCAGATATTTTTGTTGAAATAAATAATTTCGAATTAATTGGCAGATAAGCTGATGTAGAATTGAACAGAAATAACGAGATATGAGGCAATAGTGCTGGAAGCCTGAAATTTTATTATCAAAATAATATCGAATTTTTATCGTATCGTTAAAAGTAAACTTACAATCATCAAAAGAGTGCGATCTAGTGGTATTATTCCACAGCAGGTGAATTCAACAGTCAAGTACGGAAGGTAAGAAGAAAACTTCACCAGCTATAATCAGTCGAATTTATATAATTATAATTAATTAAAAATTTTTTTCACAAATGATGCAAAGATATGATTAACTCACTTTTTTGAATATTTCTTCATCCATATCAAATCGATCTCTTAGTAAGTTGATAATCCTGACGGTTTCTTTATTCTGAAAACATTTAATTTTATTTGCGATAATTTTTCTTTATTTATTTAAGGGCCACCGTTAGTGTGACCGTCCATAAAAGAGGTTATTTTAGAAATGAAGAAAAAAAATGATGTACCGATTTTTGTGAAATTTTTAGAATATATATATTGAAATAAAATTGAAACTTTAACAAATGGCAAGGTTAAAAAAAATTCAAAGGTACTGAAAAAGTATGATAATTTGGTATGTCAGTAATTTAAAAAATTGCAGATTTGAGAACTATATTCAAAAATGCAAAAAAACATACTTACTAACCTCTTTAACTACTTTGGTCACAGAAGAAGTGAAGTATATGAAGATATATATAGGATACAACAAACTAAGTCCAGTTAGATATGTTAGAGAGTCAATCTTCGGAGCGGAGATCAATTGTATCACCATATAATACAAACTGCGGATAGTTTTTGTCGAAAATATAAGTATCACAATCAAGGTAGGAACTTCATAAAAAGTTACAATTTCATCACACCCTTTACAAAGTTCCGCGTATGCGCGTTTTATGCTATCAAGATCATGCAGAATTAACTCACGCGATCGCAATATTTTACTTTCGGTGGTACCAAGTTTCAAAAGCATCGAATTAATACTCTTGAATCGTAATTTTATTATATTTATGAAGATTGTATAATGAATCAGTGGCCAAGTCGTTAAAAAATTTGGTAGGCTTATGAAGACAATTAATTTTGATTTGGAAAAAAATTGTCTCACTATGGCTATGGTACTTGTGACGATAAAGTTGCTAGCGAAGATTACATCATTGATACATTCGTATTTTATTTCATAATCGGCGCACGTATTTAAGTTTTTATCAACATTTCGCAGGTGGATGTTGATGAAATTCATAATTAATTTGTGTCGAGCGGTGATAATAAGTACAATAAAAATAATACAGAACGATGAAAGACATGCGAAGGTGTTTTGAAATATACCGAAAATTTGGTCGAGTATTTTCATCGATTTTATATAGTTAAAACAGTAAATATTTAACGATGAAGTTACTACAATAAAAATAATGTTATAACACATTCCAATATATGAAAAATAGTATCTAAAATTATGAGTTTCAATTCTTTGGTTTCCGGTTAATATTTCAGAAGCGTCGATTGACCAAGGCGACAATCCGATTATTTTAAAGAATAAGTACTGACTAATCACAAAAAGCCGATAACACACTGACTTTATTTTATGATAATTCATTTTTAACTTCATTGTAATTGACCCTTTTTTTATTCGATTGCATTCACTGGACTAGTGTTTGCTTTGATGGCAGGATGGTTACTAATGAAAGGTGCAAAAATATTCGATTTCACAGCTAGCTTTTACCATTCTCTGACAATGGATGAATAATTTATTTATGCCATCGCTGCTATATTAATATATCGTGAAGTGCGGTTTTAAAATTGCGTGCCCGAAGAAAAGCTTTCTGTTTTATTAACATTACCCATCGTCAGTAAAAGAAGAATCAATATTGAATTATTTTATTTTCTTTTCATATATTTAAATATATAGTGTTTTTTTCTAACTTCAGTAACATCTACACTTATTAATTTTTTTTCATATTTTAAATAATGATTTCTTCATTAGAAAAACTTATGCTGTAAATCAATAATATTTTCAATAAATTTGCAATAAAAAGTGATTAAATGACACAACTATGGAAAGAATATTCACACTTTTTTCATATCTTCTCACAAAAAGAATTAATAATTCAAATTCTGTGCTCAGATTATTCTAAAAAGCTTCGATGGGAAAAAAATTGACAGAAATCGTAGTTATAAATTAATGAGTGATTGAACTACTGCCAAATTGAACAGCAATGACAAGATACATTGCAATAGTACCCGTAGTCTGAAAAAAAAAATAGTACCTAGTGAAGAAATATCAATACTTTTTTAAGTAAATAAGTTACAAAATTTACTTACTATTCCTAAAAGTGTTCGGTCTAAGGGTAAGATGTCACATGCTGTTAAATTAATTTCCAAATGAGAGAGATCACTTGTGAAGAATAATAACTGCAATAATATAATTTAATAAAATTTATTTTACTAAAAGATTTTATTTGTATTTATGAAAGATACCTTCTTCATAATTTTTTCATCCATTGTATTTTTATCAGTCAGTCGAGTTATAGTCTTCGCCAGTTTGCAATTCTAAGAAGAAAAAAAATATACAGTGTAATATTTAATATTTAAAAAAAAAATTATTTATTTAAGGTTTATTCTTTTTCTTTCTATTAAAAATTTCCTTATTATAAAAAATAAATAAATTTTTAGCGGAAAAAAAACTTATAATTTGTTGTGACGTCATTGCACCTGTTTGACGTTAGATGGCGTTGCGCACCGGATACAATACTACGTCACTGCCGTTTGAATTTAAATTTAAAAAATAAATTATCTCAATTTTTTTTATAATTTCTTTAAATAACTTCTACTTAACTTTAGAAAAACAATAAAATTATTAAATATGTATACTGAGAGAACAATTTATTTGAATCGAATGAGACTCGTGTATTATAAATAAATCTCTTATTTAAATACCACTAATACTTATTTGACACAATTAAATTAATTTATTTCAGACAAAGATATGGTTTCAGTGGATTTATTTGAATGAAATAGTTATTTGTTTATAGAACAAATATTTCTTTAATACTTTAAAATCATTTATTTCAGTCAAATCAGATTTGTTAACTATAAACAAATGTGATATTTGAATGTCGATAAAGAAATCATACTCTGTAATATAGTAAATAATATCTGACATATTTATAGGGTTATCAAAGCAATGAGGATGAGTTTATTTTTATAATTTATATTGGGGTATTTTCTAATAAACTAAAATTATTAGATCCGAGTTGGATTTTGATACTTTTTTTTTTTCATTATTCAATTCATCAAAAATTTATGTATATATACAAAATTACTCAATTAAAACAGGCGACGATAAAGGTATTAAAATTACGATAACTTAAATAGCGACAGTAGCGACACAAACGTCTTATGATTTATTTCAAACGAGATTTGTTAACTATTAACAAATCTTATTTGAATGAAATAAATCGGCGAATTCAATCAAATAAACCAAAACAAAATAGTATTTGGTTGAAAGTAATCAAAATTAAAATCTACGAATTCAAATCAACCAAACTGTTTTCTCAGTGCAACTTCCCTATTAAAAAAGAAAAAAATCAAGTTATATCTGTTTGATATCTCACCTGTTTTTTAATTGTCGTAACACTGGAAGTAAAAACCAGAAAAATAAATACGATCCAAATTAAACGGAGTATCATTACAAGCCATGATACGTGAAAACCTTTAACTTTCAATAACGTCAAAACACAAAGGTATACGCAATAAATAACCCTTTCAGCAAAGCACAAAATCGTTATCAAAATAGGAACTCCGTAAAAGTCCGCAGCATCATGGCACATCCCGTAAAGTTCCATATACGCGGACTTAAGGTTATCTATATTGTAGAGAATTGATTCGCGTGTTAGAACTTTTTGAGTAACTGAAAAGATTTGCGGGTAATTATTGTTGCTTTTTGGTAGGTTGAATTTAGAAATAATTAAATTAATGCTTTTAAATTTGTTTTCGATCATATTAAGCAGCATTGCGTATTGGATCATAACACCTCCCCCGATGATTGTGGGTAAATTTTCAAAAAAAACTCGATGTGCTGGAACGTACCAAAAATCCACTATTATAATGCCCCAGACAGTTGCCAATAAATTAACAACGAAGATAACATCGTTCGTGTAGTCGTACTTCAATTTGTGATTTTCGCACTTTTTTAGCAGCTTGTCGAGAAATTTGAACCGATTGTAAATGTTTATGAGCTTCTTTTGTCGAATCATGTAAAGCAACGGAATCACAGTAGCGCACAATATTGTAATAAATAAAACTTCCACCATTATTAATGGCATCAGCTTTCCAGGGTAATCATCGGATAATGATCCACTAAATAGTTCACAGACACCGAGAACGATTAGAAGAAATATCAGCAGAACATTATAGTATGCCCCGACGTATGAAACATTAAGCAAATCCTGTTGCTTGCTACTAACTCCCCACGGTGCTAATCCGAGGGTTTTGCACGAAATTCGTTGAAGTAATTTGTAAGCTTGATAAAAAGCTGAATTATTGCGGGTATTTTTCATTATTGATTTCTGTTTGGTCTTTTATTCAGTAGCTTCAGCAAATATGTTTTCGCAGTGGTTCAATATTGACGTGTTCTGTGCAAAGTGACGATTGCAACTGTGAAATTATCAGCACGTTATTGCTATTTGGTTCTTTATCTTGATTTTTTTTCCGTAATTATTGTTATACATATTTTACTTCTATTCGCTAATTATTGATTTGCATATTTCAATTCCGCTGTTTTATTATTCATAGGAAAGACAATTTGTAAATTAGTATGAGTAATAGTGTTTAAAAGTTTTGTATGTTGAAATTGCATCTTGCAGTTGTGAAGAAAACCATGGTGATTGAAATGAATGTTAAAAAATTGTTTAGTTTGATTGCATTTAATGATTCAAAAGTGCGAATTGTAAGGAGATGGCCAAATAAATTGTCACAGTAGCCGTTGCCTGGAAAATAACGTAATGTAAAAGGTTACTGGAGCGTATTCAATCGGATGGATAAAAAATTGAATTTTGCTTACTATTCCTAAAAGCGAACGGTCCAATGATATAATATCGCAGGCTGTTAATACGATTTCTAATTCACTGAGATCACTGGAAAAGCAGGACAACTGCAATAAAATGATGTTTAGTAGATTAGAGATTTTATTGTGTGCATCATAACCTGAGAGGCTTGTTTTGTCAATTAGAGAAGAAAAATAACCAAAAAGTTTAATGGAAATATTTTAAAGTATGTGACTAAAATTTATTATTTTTTTTAAATTAATTCCGTTCAAGTTCATACTGTTGGAATAATTGCTTATGAGTGTGTAAGTATTACTGTTGTTACATATCTTACCTTTTCGACAACTTTATCATCCAGTGTACTTTGATCAACAAGGGTACATATAGTCCTCGCCAGCTTGCGGTTCTGAAAACAAATTAAACTATTTGTTCACACACTATCTTCGAATCATCCCGATCAAAAAAACAATATTCATAAAGTGTAAATTTATCAAATTTTTCCGTACCTGTTTTTTCATTTCAGTTGTGCTTGAAGTGAAAACTACAAACAGAAAAACGAACCAAAAGAAACGAAATCCAACAACAGGCCAGGCAAACAAAATATATGTGGTTATTTCTAGCGTCACAACAAGTACTCCGTACAAAGTAAAGATTATTCTTACGCCAAAACTCAAAATGGTAATTATCATAGGAATCCCGTAAAAGTTAGCAGCGTCATAGCACATTTCATACAATTCCCTATATGCTTTTTCGAGATTATCAATATCGTACAAAATTGATTCATGAAATTGATACTCTTGAATCACTGACATCATTTGCGGGCCAACGACGCTCATTTTTGGCTCGCTAATCTTCAAAATAACAGAATTTATGCTCTTAAATCTGCTTTCGATTTTATTAAGCAGCATTGCATACTGAATCATCACACCTCCCCCGATAACAGTTGGCAAATTTCCGTACAATATTACGGCTAACGGATAGTAACACATATCCAATATCACTACCAAAAAAACAGTTGTTAATAAATTAACACCAAAAATTACCCTATTAGTACAATTTCTGCTCAATTTAAAATCCGCGCACTTTTTTAAGATTCCGTCAACTTTTGCGAACCGATTGTAAACACTTATCAGTTGTTTTTGTCGAATTATGTAATACAGCGGAATCAAAATTGTAGGCAGCAATGTCACAAACGAAATTCTTTTCAATACTATTAAAGAAAATTGTAAAGAATTAGGATTAGGCAGGTGATCAAATATTCCACCAAGGCTGAATACGGATAAAACAACACTTAATAAAAAATTATAATATGACCCGACCATTGAAACACTGTATATATTATTTTCAACTGCCCAGGGCGATAGTCCAATTATTTTACAAGAAATGCGTTGAAGAAATTTATAAACTCGATTAAATAGTAATTTTTTAAAGTTGGAATTCATTATTGCTTTTAGTTTGATAGTCTTTTCTGCAGTTTTAGCAAATGTGTTTTTACTGTAGTTCGATATTGACGTGTGTACTGTCCAGAGTCACGGTTATGACTGAGAAATTAACTCACTATTCATGTTTAGTTCTATATCTTGATTTTATTTTTTTTTTTTTTCCGTAATTATTATAATGCATAAGTGAATTCTATTCGTGAATTATTGATAAAAATTTTTTGTGTACTAAAAACCGGAAATTTTAAAATTTGAAACAATAGAGTAGAAGAGGTGATTAAGTTCCATTCAATTAATAAGAAGATTAAACAAGGGCTAACTGTATAGCAATGATTATATACATTGCAATAGTGCCCGTTACCTGAAAAACAATACACTTATGAACAATACCAGAACATGATGAATTGTTTAAAAAAAACATCAATTTTACTTACAACTCCTAAAAGCGAACGCCCGACTGGTATAATATCACAAGCAAACAATTTGATCTCCAAAAATTGAAGGTCACTTGAAAAGTCACTTAACTAGAAGGAGAATCGATAATATCAATGGGATACATATATGTTACGGCTATGAAATGTAAATCGAAGTAATGAATAATGTAAAATATTATCGTCAAAACGTATCTTACCTTTTTAGAAACTTTATCATTCAATATTTTTCTATCTACGATCCTAGATATAGTATTCGCTAGTTTACGATGCTGAAAAAAATGAAAATAAAATGTTAAGAATGATTTTAGAAATCAGTGTTGACTGATGATAGTATTTTTAAACACTACGCAGTGCAACAAACTACTTGATAAAAAAAAACCTATTATTCGCAGAATTTCGTTTTTTCTTCGAGATATTTAAAATCAATTAGAAAAATTTACTCACAAGAACGAATATAAAGTCAAAGAAGTTCTTTATTCAACAATTTCATTCTTGATAATTCGATACACCTATAACTTACAAATTCTAACGCATTTTTGTAAGTCTTTTTTTATCTCTTACTTTTTTTTTTTTGTAAGAAATTCAAATTATCCAAAATTTACAATATTTTTTGTAAGAAAGGAATATTCTGTATCAATCCATAAACGTTGAAAATGAATTGAGTCATTTTTTAAGTGATTGTAGTTTTAAAATTGCGCGGATTTTGCGCGCTTGCGCAGATCAACAATCATGTCATAAAGATATTGTCCTTTAATGTTATCAAAATTTGATTCTTATTTACAGAAACATTGATTCAAGATCTTATTACTTGTCTAAACAATATGAAAAACTGTTTTTTATTATTTTTAATCCAACAATAAATACGTGAATGAAGACAATCGGTTCTCTTTAAAATAATATTGTTTCTAGATCGAAAATATTTCTTTTAGATCAAATTATATTTTTAGTACATTTTTGATATGGAATAAAAATTTTCCTAGAAAAAAACAAATTTTCTTAATTAGGGACAATTCAATTTACCTGTTTTTGAATAGTTGTAACACTAGAAGTTAATAGTACAATCGTAGAAGCCATCCACAGTAAACGAGGTCCGACGACATGCCATACAATAACTTCATTCGATAGCTTCAACACCGTCAAGAGTGCAATATACACCGTAAAGAAGACTCTCATACCTCCACAAAATAAAGTAATTATAATAGGTACTCCATAAAATTGAGCACTGTCGTAACATATCTCGTGCAATTCGATAAAAGCAGATTTGAGATTATCAATATTGTAGATAAGCGATTCACGCATGATAACTTTTTGTGACAATGAAAGTACTTGCGTGCCAACGATATTATCTTCTGCTGGACCAATTTTTAAAACAGTGGAATTGATACTGTTAATTCTTTTCTCAACTCTGTTCAGTAGCATCGCAAATTGTATCATTACACCTCCCCCGATGACTGTCGGCAAATTTCCATACAAGATGACAGCCACAGGATAGTAACATGCATCCAACATTAATATCAAAAAAACAATCGTCAACAAATTCAGAATGAAGATTACTTCGTTGGTATAATCGCGTTTTAATTTATAATCCGCGCACTTTTCTAAAATTCTGTCAACTTTTGTGAGACGGTTGTTAGTGGATATTAGTGACCTTTGATAGAATGTGTAGAACAAAACAATGAAACTTGCAGATAGTCCTGTGAAGAGTAAAGATTTATGGATTACTGATGCCGTAATTGCTCCAGAAACTGAAGAGTTTGTATATTCAATATATTCAACGATGGTTAATGCAATCAAACCAAAGCTCAATAAAATGTTGCAAAATGATTCGACGTATGATACACTCCAGACATTATTACTATCAATTTTCCAGGGTGATAATCCAAGAATTTTACACGAAATATGTCGAAAAAATTTGTAATATCGGTAACACATGGATCTATTTTGAATTTTTGATCTTTTGTGTAGGTTTGCATTTCTTCCTATCATTTTCTGAGTGCTTCGCAGAAACTATTTGCAGAATATCGACGTTCGTACTTTGTCACGTAACGATTATGACTGCAGTGGCTATTACGAGTGGCTATTAGCTTCCATATCGTGATCTTTAATTCTGTTATTGTAATTGTATATTTTATTTCTGCTACTTTATTATTTATGATTGAAAATAACGATTTTTACAGTGAAAATTGATAATATTCGAATTGCATCTTGGATTTGTGGAAACTATTGTGATTACAATGTATGTTTTTAGATAAAAATCTGAATCATTGCGGGTGTTCTTCATTGTTGATTTCTGCTTGGTCTTTTAGTTAGTAGCTTTATCAAATATGTTTTCTTAGTCGTTCAATATTGACGTGTTTTGTGCGAAGTCACAATTACGTCTGTGAAATTATCAGCACGTTATTGCTATTTAGTTCTATACCTTGATTTTTTTTCCGTAATTATTGTTATGCATATTTTACTTCTATTCGCTTATTATTGATATGCATACTTCAATTCCGCTGCTTTATTATTCATAGGAAAGACAATTTGTAAATTAGTATGAGTAATAGTGTTTAAAAGTTTTATATATTTAAATTGCATCTTGCAGTTGTAAAGAAAACCATGGTGATTAAAATGAATGTTAAAAAATTGTTTAGTTTAATTGCATTTAATTATTCAGAAGTTCGAATTGTAAAGTGATGGCCAAATAAATTGTCACAGTTGCCGTTGCCTGGGAAATAACTTAATGTAAAAGGTTACTGGAGCGTATTCAATCGGATGGATAAAAAATTGAATTTTGCTTACTATTCCTAAAAGCGAACGGTCCAATGATATAATATCGCAGGCTGTTAATTCGATTTCTAATTCACTGAGATCACTGGAAAAGCAGGACAACTGCAATAAAATGATTTTTAGTAGATTAGAGATTTCATTGTGTGTATCATAACCTGAAAGGCTTGTTTTGTCAATTAGAGAAGAAAAATAACCAAAAAGTTTAATGGAAATATTTTAAAGTATGTGACTAAAATTTATTATTTTTTTTAAATTAATTCCGTTCAAGTTCATACTGTTGGAATAATTGCTTATGAGTGTGTAAGTATTGCTGTTGTTGCATATCTTACCTTTTCGACAACTTTATCATCCAGTGTACTTTGATCAACAAGGTTACATATAGTCCTCGCCAGCTTGCGGTTCTGAAAACAAATTAAACTATTTGTTCACACACTATCTTCGAATCATCCCGATCAAAAAAACAATATTCATAAAGTGTAAATTTATCAAATTTTTCCGTACCTGTTTTTTCATTTCAGTTGTACTTAAAGTGAAAACTACAAACAAAAAAACGACCCAAAAGAAACGAAATCCTATAACGTGCCATATAGGAGAGTAATTCTCTTGATAGTAAACTGCTGACAAGATTAATATATATAAAGTGAAGATTACTTTTACTCCACAACACAAAATGGCAATTATAATAGAAATTCCATAAAATTTAGCAGCGTCATAGCACATTTCGTACAGTTCCATGTATGCTTTTTGGAGATTATCGATATCGTACAAAATTGATTCACGAAATTGACACTCATAACTTACTGACATCATTTGCGGGCCAACAACACTTATTTTTGGCTCACTAATATTCAAAATAATGGAATTTATGCTCTTAAATCTGCTGTCTATTTTATTAAGCAGCATTGCATACTGAATCATTACACATCCCCCAATTACACTGGGAAAACATCCAAACAAAACTCTACTTGGTATATAATAGCACATATCCAAAATCACCACCAAAAAAACAATTGTTACAAAATTTACACTGAAAATAACATCATTAGTGCAATTGCGTCTTAATTCATAATTGGCGCACTTTTTTAAGATTTCGTCGACTTTTGCGAACCGATTATAAACACTTATTAGTCGCTTTTGTTGAACAAAAGCGATGTAATACAGCGGAATCAAAATTGAAGATACCAGTGCAACGAACAGAATTCTTTTTAATACTATAAAAAGAGATGCTGCAGGAGAAGTGGCAGGTGGATCATTGAACACACCATGTAGACTCCATACTGATAAAATAATACAATATAAAATATTATAATATAACCCGACGAACGAAACACTGTATATATTATTGTCATCAACTGTCCAGGGCGATAATCCAATTATTTTGCATGTAATGCGTTGAAGAAATCTAAAACATTGTTTACATCTTAATTTTATTCTTGAAATTTTATTCAATTGGTAATGTATTTTTCCTATCATTGCTGCGATATTAACGTGTATCATCCAGTGTACTTTGATCAACAAGGGTACATATAGTCCTCGCCAGCTTGCGGTTCTGAAAACAAATTAAACTATTTGTTCACACACTATCTTCGAATCATCCCGATCAAAAAAACAATATTCATAAAGTGTAAATTTATCAAATTTTTCCGTACCTGTTTTTTCATTTCAGTTGTACTTAAAGTGAAAACTACAAACAAAAAAACGACCCAAAAGAAACGAAATCCTATAACGTGCCATATAGGAGAGTAATTCTCTTGATAGTAAACTGCTGACAAGATTAATATATATAAAGTGAAGATTACTCTTACTGCACAACACAAAATGGCAATTATAATAGAAATTCCATAAAATTTAGCAGCGTCATAGCACATTTCGTACAGTTCCATGTATGCTTTTTGGAGATTATCGATATCGTACAAAATTGATTCACGAAATTGACACTCATAACTTATTTTTGGCTCACTAATATTCAAAATAACGGAATTTATGCTCTTAAATCTGCTGTCTATTTTATTAAGCAGCATTGCATACTGAATCATTACACATCCCCCAATTACACTGGGAAAACATCCAAACAAAACTCTACTTGGTATATAATAGCACATATCCGAAATCACCACCAAAAAAACAATTGTTACAAAATTTACACTGAAAATAACATCATTAGTGCAATTGCGTCTTAATTCATAATTGGCGCACTTTTTTAAGATTTCGTCGACTTTTGCGAACCGATTATAAACACTTATTAGTCGCTTTTGTTGAACAAAAGCGATGTAATACAGCGGAATCAAAATTGAAGATACCAGTGCAACGAACAGAATTCTTTTTAATACTATAAAAAGAGATGCTGCAGGAGAAGTGGCAGGTGGATCATTGAACACACCATGTAGACTCCATACTGATAAAATAATACAATATAAAATATTATAATATAACCCGACGAACGAAACACTGTATATATTATTGTCATCAACTGTCCAGGGCGATAATCCAATTATTTTGCATGTAATGCGTTGAAGAAATCTAAAACATTGTTTACATCTTAATTTTATTCTTGAAATTTTATTCAATTGGTAATGTATTTTTCCTATCATTGCTGCGATATTAACGTGTATACTTCACTACGATCCAATTGTGACTGGAAAAGACGAGCACACGCGTGTTATTTGCTTTCATATCTTTATTATTATTGCTTTGTAATTATCGTTGAGTGTACTTCATTTCTATTAACGTTATTAGTTATTACTAACATGCTGCAATGTTTGTTTTGGAAAACAATTTTATTGAAACATTGTTACCAACTTGTTGTTTCTTCTCTTTTCAGAAAAAATATAAACTTATTATAGAAGAAGATAAGGTACAAAAATCTGAACAATTTCTTTCTTCAGATTAAATTAATTCTTGTTTGATAAAAATCAAACTTTTTTTGATTAAATGAAAACTCTTGATAAACCCAAATCTCACTTTATATAATTTTATAGCACTTTAATTGAATTGCGGTTTGACAAGTATCTTCATCAACAGTCACGACATGTAATGAAACCTGTTTGAATGCGATCGATAAAAAAGAGCGTTGTTTTTGTATCGCGTGTTACTTACTTTGAATAGAGATAGATATGCTTTTTATATCTTTCGTAGCGTATTAATCTTAATTAAGCTTAATACGCTAACTAGAGGTTCCTAATCTTGATTTTACTTAACAAGGCCGCTTATATATTTTATGCAATGCTTCAACTTTCAGTTCGGTTAATTTAGTTAAAAGTTGTTGTAAGTTTTTATAATACTAATTCGCATAGAGCTACACTGCAAAAAAATTGATTTGATTCAAAAGAAAAATTCCTGAACCAAGAAACCCATTTTCTTGATTTGAGTAGAAAAATTCTTGAACTAAAAAATTTTTCTTAATTTCAACAAAAAATACTTTTTATTTTTAAACTGGCTCCATATTTCACCAAAGATGAACCCTACAAAAAATGAATGTTCAAATCTCTTTAGTTTTTTTATTAGAGACATTTTAAGGCTAAACCGACAATCTAGCCTCGCCGCCATGATTAGCTTCAGCGCCATCTGCAGGGACGCTACTATTACTACTCGAGCGGGAAATTTAAACGTGAAATTACTTAAGACTTTCTAATCCAAGCAATTTGACTGTTTATATTATCCAGAAAATTTTTTAATGACTTTTTCGATTAAATATATAAAAATAGATGCTAAAAATTGCCTCAAGGCTTGAATTTAAAATTAAAATTTACAATTTAACTTACATATAAAAAAATTTATCCCCCCAATCTAATTTAACTTTCTCTATATTTTTTAGAAAAAACATCGCACAGGACGTTACATCGCCGTCGGGGCATTTCTAATAGTCACGTTGCTAACTCTCCATCACGTGCTCTTGAGAGACGCTTCTAAAATAGCTGGAATATTCGTACCCACTATCATAATGGGCTGTTACATTCTATGGATTGCCTACTCAGCTCGGAGAGATAAGCTCAAGGTTTAAGATTTTTTATTCATTCGCTAAAAATTTATACTTACAGTAATCTTATTTTTACGGGTCGTACATAAAAAAAATTTGTTTATCATAAGTACACCAGGTATAGTCTTCTCGCTGTACACGTCTAGCTGAGAGAAATAAGGTGCCGAAATGTTAAAAGTTGTGTACTCATAGCCGAGATTGGGAGTCGCTATTATCCATTATAAAAAATTGTGAAAACGGTAAACCGTATGAGAGCTTTAACCTTCTGCCCTTTAGAACGACAAACTTTGTCTTTGATATAATGAAGCTTTGTTTCTACTCTCTACGGGTGAGATATTTATATGCATATATGTGTATTGAGACATGCTCGACCTAGCACACGTAATCACATCCAGAAGGTGATTTTCCGAAATTACTAAAATACTCGTGAAAATCCTTGATAATCCTCTTATTTATTTTCATCCCATTTATTTTCTTTTAATCTCCTCTCGATGTGAATATTATGTTATTTCAAATCTGCAGAATATTTTTTATGATATTTAAAGAACATTATTTTTAGAAAATTTTTACGGTTAATTTTATAATAGAAAAATAAATTAAAATGTCTAATTGCCATTAAATCTTATCTGCGTTCATAATGTACATAATAATGATTTAAAAAAGCACTATTAGAAATAAAAATGATCCCCAAACTCCTCAAAATTTTTTTTCAAATCGACTAATCACCATTTCTACCTAAAGAGCGGTTTAAATAGCTGGTGTGAATTTTTTAAGTATTTATGGAGGTGTAAACACGATAACTTTTTAACAAATAAAATTTTCAACTCAATTTATTTTTTAATCTCCTCATCTGCCTCATGGAAACTTGCGGATTGTAAATTGCAGCTTAATATTCTTTTGTTTAATTATAATTAATTTTTTTCGGCTGGCAGTTGGAGAAATTTTCTGTCCTTTGAGCAGCCATGTATAAAAATTTATTTCTAAACACACTTTTAAGACAGCTGATACTATACTCAATTGTTTCGCTGGCTGACCGCCGGTAATACACTCTTTAATTGGTTTTTTTTTTATGATTCACTTCTCGGACCAACAGAGGGCGTTCAATTCGTATAAAAAAAATCCTTGCGGGAAAATTTAAACGCGCTTTAAAATATATTCGTAAATAAAATAAATTTCTTGTAATTTATTTACTAGAAAAATTTTCTATAAAATTCCAAAATTAAAAATAATAAATATTGTAATTTATTTTTAATTAACTAATTATTAAAACAATTTTTTAGCTTATAAAAAGTAATTATTAAATTATTAATTACTAATTATTGTAATTTATTTTTAATTAACTAATTATTAAATCAATTTTTTAAATTATAAAAAGTAATTTGATATTTAAATTTGATCATAAAAACATACAGTTGGCGATGACGTATGGACTGTTCTGTGGATACGTCGATGTATTGATAAACATAGGTCATATATTTACATATATATATATATATATATATATATATAGCAGAGTGTACTCGCGAGATGAGAAGATGAATGGAAACGCGAAACAAACGGGTGCAAATGAAGAATTTGATTAGCGTTGAAGCGTAGAAGCATTACCCGTGTGCAAATTGTAATCATTTGTCATTTTGGATCCAGGTTCGGCGACGTAGAGCGGCCTTGGCGATGCAGCTGACGGAAGTGATTGTTAACAAGCCACCAGGATCAAAATCAGCATCAGTAACAGCAGCAACACCCGGTGATAAAGGAAAAGGAAGTGGTGAGGCTGCCAAAGGAGGAGCTGTTGCTGGTATTAGGACACCTCAGGAGAACCCGGGGCTGACAGTAAAGCACAACACTGTGCTGACAAGTGTGCATGAGAGGCCGGTGGTTTTGTCCAGAGTTGATTCTGATGGGCATGGAAGCTCGGAAAAAAGTTTAGACTCAATTTAATTTTTTTTTTATAAACTTTTATGTAATTTTATGATCGATCTCCAATTATGGGTTGGTGTTCTGAACCATCCACCTGCTGGATGCTGGATCCCTGCTGATTGATGTCCTTCGATTGATGACTCTCTGGCAATCTGCGAGGAATGTTAAGTGGTTAGATAGGTTTTTTGGATATTGGGCGAAATAGAAACTAGTTACCCGTCTTAGGTGAGGTGTCTTAGACGGCCCTTATGGACTAGCTCAGGTTCTTACTGCGGCGAATCCAGAATTTCCGTTGATCGATCCTACCGGGCGCACCGTTTACCATTTACCTTCCTACTATACTACTACTCCCGTTCTTTGGTTTTTTTATAAACAGATCATGGAGAGGGGGTGTCTCGCTTACTCAGGAGATCCTCAAGGTGTCTCTTACTCGCTTGAGGGGGAATGACGAGCTACAGAGCAGGATGCCAAACTGAGATTATGATCACGGAAAATGGACGGAAAATACACTCGCGCCGATTCAAGGGGTAGTAGCAGTGGAATACTCCATTCACGGAAGTCTAGTTTGAATTCGAAGAGGTTATTGGTCAGGGGGTATTAACGCGGGTTGTGGGTGAGGAGATTTTTTTTTAATTTTTAAAATGATAATTTTGATTTTTAGTTTTTTTAAATTTAGTTGAATAACTTATTTTTAAAAATTTGAAAAATTTAATTTTTTATGAAGAAATTTTAAAATAAAATTTTATGGAAATTTTAGAAATAAGATGGAAAATAAATTTTTTTTGAATATTATAGAGTTTTTAGGTAAGTAAAAAAATTTTTTTTTTGAATTTTTTTTTCTTCTTCAAATGTCGATAGAAAAAAATTTGAAAAAATATAAGTGCAATTTTTTAGAAATGTCTTTTTAGTTGTAATTTAATTAATAAAAAAAATCAAAAATTTTTAGACGTCTTCTAACTTCAGTATCATAATTTATTTTTTGGAGATTGGTAGAAATTTTTGAAAGATAAGAAAAAAAATTTTTTTTTTTAATATTATGGAATTTTTTGAAAATAAAAAATTTTATTAAATATAATTATTAAGAAAATTTTTTTATGCAAAAATTGATTTTTTTCTTTATAAAATTTTGGAAAAATTTAATTAATCATTTACATTAATTTTGTAATTTTATTTTTTTTATTGAATTCAAAAAATCGCGCGCTTTGTAGAGGGCGCCAAAATAAAGAATAGTATCGTTTTTAATCAAGAGCAGTTTTCAAAACATAACCTTAACAACATTCGTCGTAAACAAACGCCAGTTGTGTTTTAAAAATTCTATTTTTTTAAATTTATAAATTAAAAAGTGTGTTAAAATTATTATTACAAATAAATTACATAATAATAATTGACAATGGGTAAAAAAAGAACAATTACGCCGTCATCATCATCATCAAAAAATATTAAAGTTGAAGTAAAAGACGAAATCAGTAAGTGTTTATTTATTTACATTAAAAATAACAGATTCTAACAATTTTTAGATTAAAAATTTTTAAAAACTATAGATGGAATTTTTTTTCTTTTGTAATGTATTGTAACAATTTTCTTATGAATGTAAAAAAAAATTATAAACATTGTAAGGTGTCTGCTAATTTCAGAATTTATTTTTTTTTAAACAACAATGAACTTTAAAATTTTTATTAATTAATTATTGTTTTAATAAATTAGATGACAATGAAGTTGTGGTAGCTCGTGATCGTCTTAAAGGAGCTTTAAGGGAATTACTACGTAACAGCGATGAAGGATCTTCTGGTGATTCTGATAATGAAAGAGATGTGCCGGAATATAAACCAACTCCTATTAAAAAGTATTTATTTTTATTATTAATTAGACATTACAAAAAAATTATTCTAATACTAATAATAACAATTTTTAAGTCATTATTATTATTATTATTATTATTATTATTGTTATTATTATTATTATTATTATTTAAGAATGTCAAATTTATTATAATAATAATAATAATCTAGACTTCAAAATTTTAATAAAAATTATTATTATTATCAATTAGACTTTTTACGAAATAAATTTTCATAATAATAATAATAATAATAATCTAAACTCAAAAAACTTTTATTATTATTTTTAATTTTCATAAATTTGACATTCTTAAATAATAATATTAATAATAATGACTTTTAATTCTTATTAAATTTTTTAAGTCTGGATTATTATTATTATTATTATTATTATTATTATTATTATTATTTTGTCAAAATAACTAAATTTAACAACCTTATTTAAAAAAAACCAGAACACGACAAACTCCAATGCGCAAATTAAAAAAAAAGAAGCCTCTAGCAGCGGACCAGTCATTCCATCACACATATGTGATGAAACTCTTCGACAGAAGTGTCGACCTGGCGAAATTCCGTGAAGACACTCCTCTGTACCCGATCTGTCGTGCTTGGCTGGCTAATCAGCCAAGGAACCCAAATTTGGTTCCAAAGGAAAGGACTCCCAGTCCGGAGATTGTCGAGGAAGTGCACAAAGACACTAGCTTTGAAGACTCCAATGGAGAATTGAAAGATGTGTTGAACTTGCCGCCACCTAAACCCGCTGAAGAAGCTTTTCCAAGGAACCGCATTCCTTCTCCAGTTCGCCAGCCGAAGGATAAGCTTGATCTTAATTATGTAAGTTTAAAATTATTTAATTTAATTAAGTATTTATAAATTATTATTTAAGAATTATTATTAAATTTCTTTTTTCCTTTATTGCACGGAAAAAACAAGATTATACTGGATATAATCCCAGATTATACAGAGTGAAAAAAATTTTCAGATAGTAGCTAGTATAATCCAGATAACAATGAGCGTAATCCAGATTACAATGAGTATAATCCAGATATTATCCAGTATAATCTGGATTATACTAGCTACCATCTGAAATTTTTTTTTCGCCTCAGATGTCACTGAGTATAATCTGAGATGGTATCCAGTGTCATCTTGTTCTTTCCGTGCACTTGACAATTTTTTAATTTTATTTAACAAAAAAATT